CTTGTTGAATTTATGAGTCTGTGATATAAATGATGGTGCTAAAATCCCGAAAAATTCTCCTTTTTATCCAGGTTACGCAGTGTATTCCATACTTGTTTCTCTCATCTCTTCTTTCTGCTTCTCTCCCCCACCCCCTCTTTCCTTCAGAGGAAAATTAAAAGTTTCAATAATAAAGTGGCTTTCCAATTTAACAATTGGCTTTGTTTGTTTGTTTTTTAGCTTCTCCTGAGGAACAATGTATATGTGACAGAGACAGAGTGTGCACTGTTTGTGTATATGTACACAAAATGCACATCATACTACAAAAGAATTCAAACAACATTGTTTCCAGAGGCCCAGAAACCAAAAGGAGGTTCTCAGTTGATAAGTGTCGGGGTGTGTGGTGGGATTTTCTAAGTTTTGAATATACCACACATTCCAGATCCTGCTGTGATTCCCTCTCTTTGCCAGGAAATGAACGCACCACCGCACTCCCAAGGTTTTCCAGATCTTCACCAGCCCTAGGCTCAGGTTTTGCCTGGTTCAGGCTTCTTCAGGATTTCAGAAGGACAATTTTGGGAAACTCACAATGAGGGGACATGGAACTAGTTGTGGGTCCCTCCAGTCTGACAACGCTGCAAAAGTGTCCCTCCAGAAACCTGTTGAAAAACTGAATTCATGCACACGGTTTATAAGAAAGCTTGACCGGGTTTTTTCCCCCGCTTTTCCTTTCCCTTTCTTCTTCTTTTCTCCCCCCACCCCCTTCCTGCCAAGGAACAGGAGTCCACTTTTGAGGCGATAACTCTGAAAGCCTTTGCAGTTTTTTTTCCTTCTTGTTCTCTCTCGCTCTTCCCTCTACTTCCTTAAAAAAAAAAAAATACTGTCATTGAAGGAAAGGGGTTTTGCGGTTTGCAGAGAAATAAAGCATTTCTGAGAGGGGATGGAGACGTGACTTTGAACTTGGCTCAGCTCCTCTGTGTCCTGCAGAGAGAGGAGAACTGGAGCAGGGAAAGAATAGCCAGGAGGGCCCAGCCCGCGGGGTCTCCGGCGGGAATTAAGGCGTCTGCCCCACTGCCCGGCAGCGAGCAGCCCCCGGAACCTAGCGCAAGTAAGCGCCCAGCCGCGCTGCCCCGAAACGCGGGCGCAGCAAAAGAGGAATCAAAGTGAAAAGAGAGAATGGGTCAAAGAGGAGAGGGAGGGAGGATTGGGGAGGGGTGAGAAAGTGGTAAAGGAAGAAAACTTGGAAGTCTGATGCCTTGAAAGAAGGAAAGGAAGTGAGTTCTTTGGATATGCAAGATTGCTTTCTCACAATCTCTAGGAAGGATTTTTTTTTTTTTTGTAATGTTTGGAATAAGCCATTCCAGGTACTCTCCCTTCATCTCCCCCATATAAATTCACCAATTTATACAGTAAACAAACCTGAAAGACTGCATTGGGCAATTTTAAAGGGCTCAACGTGGCAGGGCAGCCTTTCTGCCGGGAGAAATTCATTCTCTCCCTTTTTCCTTCCCCCCACCCCCTCCTCTCTCGGGGGCCAACTTGGCAATTGCCCTCCGCCCCTTTTAGAAAAGACCTAGGGAAAGACGAGTGCCTCCAGCTTCCAGACAAACTCCTAAGCTTTAGCCATGTGTCCCAGTCCCCTTCCTTTTTGCCCCCCTCCCCCATGGCAGGGAAGAGGGGAGGACAGAAGGAGGGCACAGGGCCCTTTATGGAAGGGGCTACAGCCAGTTCCAACACAGAGAGAGACCCGCTTCAGCGGGCAGAGGCCGCACAAGAAAGCTCGGGTTATGCTAGCAATAGTGAGAAGATTCTTCCCGCATTTTGGATGATTTCATTTTAAGATTAAAAATTGGAAGAGCATGGTGATTATTTTCTTGCTTGAATTTTTATTTCAACTCCCAGCGATTTGTAAATAAAAGTAGTTTTCCAGGCCAGCCAGGCAAAGAAAGGCGCTGGTCTTACACTGTCCCTTCACACCTCCACAGCCTGGGAATCCGCAGTTCCCTCTCTGGTTACCTCCAGAGCACGAGCTTCGGGCGTTGGGACAGAAAATGTCCTCAGAGACTCAGGGTGCAGCGTAGGCCTCAGGGCCAAGGGGGCTGGCCAGGGGCCGCACCGGGAGTAGCTTCATGGTCAGCTCACGCCCGAGAAGGGGCACACTCTTCACTCCCAGAGAAGTGATATTTACCTTATGGAGGGGTTAAGCCCTACGAGTCTGGCGGTTTCCTCTCTCCAGGCCCTGAGCCTTACCCTCAGCCAAATTCTGGCCTAAGCCTTGCTTGGCTGCTAGCGTCCCCATCCTTCTCAATTCATCGTGGCAGCAGACCCAGACTACTGGGCATCTACCCCTAGGGTGACACTGTCTTTAAACGACTTCCAGACAACCCCCTCCTACGTGGAGGGGGGGCACTGCCCAATGTTTATTGCTGTAATCGGAGCAGGAGGCGAGCGGCGGGGGAACTAAGCGCGCCCAGGGGCGGGTGGGGACCACCGCCCGGCGTGGGGGCGGTGTCTGGGTGAGAATCCAAGGAACCGGTAAGACTGTATGCCCACCGTCCTTCACCAGTTTTCAATACCATAAAGCAGGTTCACCAAGGGAGGGGAAAGAATAGGGAGCGTGCCAAACCAGCAAGAGACGGGCCCCCAGGCCGCTCCCTGCTCCGCGCTCCCGGCTGGGCTATCGGCCTGAAATGTCCCAGGGCGCAGGACCTCCGGAGTGACTACCCGGTTGCCAGCCACGACTCGGGCGGCACGGAACGCCCGGGCCCGCAGTTCCTGGGTTTAAAGTTGCTGGGAGTGGGTCGGATCCCTGGGGAGTCGGTGGCCTGTGTGGGTACTGTCCCGCTTCTGGCCAGCGACTAGCTGAGGGCGACATAACCCCGCGGCCTGGGCCCTCGCAACGCTGGCTGCGCGATTCCC